GGGGGGGGGGGCGATATCAGTTACCACCACAGAAGCGCTTTTAATTGAAAGGACGAATGTCCAGTAACACTGCAGAAAAGCACCCTCAGCCATAAAACTTATATTATTATATATCTTATTATTAGACAGTATATCTTGACTTACATACCACTTTCACAACAGCTTCAGCTGTAACAAAGCGCAATCGGACATTTAACATTATCATTGTTATTATTAGATTTAAAAAAAAAATGTAATAATAAGTGCATCCGTATTTTCTCTTTTGGTGCAGGAGAAAGTTGCACGTCACCTGACTGCACGCAGCGAAAGAACTTTGGTAAGTGAAGAAGAGGAGAAGAAGAAAAAACATCTCCCCACCCCCACGGCAAAAAGGAGACCGCCCACCAGAGACAGTCAACCCGAGACCCCTTATAGATTTAAAAAGAGAGGCTGCATTCTCAGACTGACACTTATTCAACAGTGTTACCTTAAGCAGATTACTTTTTTTTTTTTTTGCGCTGCCTCGCAGGGTCAAAACAGGCGCTTTCGTGTCGCTGCTCCGACTGCTGCCGCTTCTCCTCCTCCTCCTCCTTCTTCTTCTTCTCCTCTTTTCTCCTCTCTTTCCACTTTGCCTTCTTCCTCCATCATGTTTGGGATGCTGAAAGATCACCTCCAGCCGGGCTTGTTCTGCTTCTTCGTGTGGTTCTGCCACCTCATGGAGCATCAGAAAGTTCAAGGTAAGCCATGCTCATCTTTTAGACACTTTTTTTTTCCCCTTCCCGCTCTCAAAGCACACACAGCTTCACGTGCGGTGCATCGGCAACTTTTTTTTTAAAAACATTTTTCATGAGGTAAAATAGTGCGTAAAACAGGTGCCATTTGCACGGGACAAGTTGACAAGTTTTCAGTTGTTTGGACTAAGTTGTGCCAAACCTGCGAGGGGTATTATTACTGAATCTCATTTTTTTTTTTTTTTTTTTAGATAAATATATTTTGGATTGAATGAAATCACCACGCCTGCGTCCCGTTATGTTCAATAAAATAATTTGATGCGCGTTCGGCGCGTCATAGCGCGCCGCTGCTGCTTATTGTGGCGCTTTAGTGCTGCATGTCTAGACGCTCCGCGGCTATGGGAATTAGGAGCACCCTCTTCCCCCCTCCTCCCCACCCCCCCTCCCGTGTGCTTATTTGGTGCTCGCATTGTCCGCGCTGTCACTCACGCACGGGAGCGAGTGCCGAAATAGCGTGAGGGAGGGTGTCCCGGGATTGCTTGCGCGCGCCCAAATGCCAACTTTTGATTTCCGATATCTATATTTTTTGGGGGGTGTTTGCAGCTGGTAACTGCTGGTTGCAGCAGGGCAAGAATGGCCGCTGCCAGGTGCTCTACATGCCCGGGATGAGCAGGGAGGAGTGCTGCAGGAGCGGGAGACTGGGCACGTCCTGGACCGAGGAGGACGTCCCCAACAGCACGCTGTTCAGGTGGATGATCTTCAACGGCGGAGCCCCCAATTGCATACCTTGCAAAGGTGGAGGTGCACTCATTTTCCCTTGGTTTTGCACATTATCAATCACGAGTCCTTTTCTCCTTTGAAGCCTGTCGTAATCGTTGGCCCGCGACTTGTAACGGACTTGATTTCGCTCCCCCCCCCCCCCCCACCCTACCCCCCGGCGGTCGTGCGATAACGTGGACTGCGGGCCGGGCAAGAGGTGCAAGATGAACAGGAGGAGTAAGCCGCGCTGCGTTTGCGCGCCAGACTGCTCCAACGTCACGTGGAAGGGACCCGTGTGCGGCTCGGACGGGAAGACCTACAAGGACGAGTGCGCGCTGCTCAAGGCCAAATGCAAAGCGCACCCCGACCTGGACGTGCAGTACCAGGGAAAATGCAAAAGTCAGTCACTTTCGCCTCTCTCTCTCTCTCTCTCTCTCTCTGCGTCTGTATTTCTGTGCATCTTTCCAGCTATCCCCATTTCCCGTGACAGTTTTCTCTCACACTTCCACTGTCTCTCTGTATATCACGACCCCTCTCGTCCATCTCTAATCTCTGTAGGGCGGAATCCTCACATTTCCAAAATCACAAATTTTCAGGAAACTAAAAAAAAAAAAATTATTAACCCATTCATGCAGCCTGTAACATGATAACATGATAAACTGTCCACTGTAGTAATAACTGTCCCTGAAAGGGTTAAACATTGTATCGTTCAAGTTTCCAAGCTATTGTTATGACTTCGGATGGGTTATTTTGTTTTAAGATCGCTTTAGTACATTTCTCGAATTATTCTCGAAATTTGCAAAAGAGTGCACTTCTCAAAACAAACGGTAGGAATAGCAAAACGTGGATTAGCCGCAAGAAGTCAGCCTCTTGCTCAGAATCCTTGGTTTATCTCTGAAAAGTTAGCATCTATCGATGAACATGTCAGTGCCATCAAAATATCAAGTCATTGTGGATGGCTAAAACGGTCAAATTGCTTAGTAATGTTGTCGATATGTCAGTGTCCTCCGAATGGAGGCAAGTTCTGATGTAAACTTTTGCAGTGGCGCATACACGACTCGAATGGGAACACACATCAGCCCCCTCCCCTTATCACACGCCTGGATGTCCCTATTAGCAACCTATTCAAAGAAATGAGAAACTGCTATTTGATGTCCTCAAAATGTACCAAAGCAACTGTGAAGAACTGCTATGGGAACTGCCCATATTGTCCAAAATCAAAAATTGGAACAGATTTGAACATCAGAGGATTCCGCCCGACAGCATCGATCGGCTTGTTATCCGATTGTGATGTAACACTCTTCCGTCGTGCAGAAACATGCCGAGACGTGCTGTGCCCGGGCAGCTCCACCTGCGTGGTGGACCAGACCAACAACGCCTATTGTGTGACGTGTAACCGGATCTGCCCCGAGGTGACGTCCCCTGAACAGTACCTGTGCGGCAACGACGGCATCGTGTACGCCAGCGCCTGCCACCTGAGGCGGGCCACCTGCCTGCTGGGCCGATCCATCGGGGTGGCCTATGAGGGCAAATGCATCAGTAAGTAACATACACAAACATGTGTGCGCACACACAAAGACACACACTCGCTTGACCCACACCTCCCCGAATGAGAGTGTTTATTGCTGCCAACATTCCATGTTGGATGTCGAGTGTTTGCTCAAGAAATGATGGACACTTGATTATTTCCTGATGTTGGCAACACTTCCCCTTATGGGGGAGTTGGGAGGAACAGCAAAGTGCAGTGCGGGGGGGATTGAAGTCAACCAAGTGCAAACTTTTCCTTACTGTGCTGAAGGATTTTTCTTTTAGATATCTGTACTTTATTTGAGGATATATTTTTACTTTTTACCATGAACCCCATTTAAAATACACAATATAGAGTGGCCATGAAAAAGCGTGTTTGTTATAGTTCTATCCCCGCTTTGAATGCAGTCTACCGAGATCTCAGGAACGCTTAAGGCAGTGGTTCTTGAACTTCATTAAACACCATCTAATAAAAATGACTGGTTTACCATAAAACACCGTCATGCATCCATCGTAAATACATCTGTTTCATTCCTCTGAAGAATATTTAACATTACAGTAAACCACTGAACATTAGAACAATAAAAAAACTGTAGTTAATAGCAAGCGGGGTACACCCTGAACTGGTTGCCAGCCAATCGCAAGGCACACATAGACATACACAGTCACACCTACGGACAATTTAGTGTTCACTTAACCTCCCTTGGATGTTTTTGGAATGTAAGAGCAAACCAAAATGCCCCGAGAAAACCCACGCAGGTATGGGGAGAGCATGCAAACTCCACACAGGAAGGTCGGACCAATGACCTCTGCCCCCACGAAATAATATATTTAAAATGTATTGCACATTAAAACAATTGTATTTGAATTAAAAAAATAAAGTCAAATCAAACTAAAAAGTAACTGTCATGAAAAATCCAAAAATTATTACAACTCTGGAACGGATTAATTTCACTTCCATTCATTTTAATGAGGAAGGATGATTTCAGATACAAGTGTTTTGAGTTCAAAGTGTAGTCACTGAGCAAATTCAATTTAAGACACCAGCGTGTATGTTTGTCGGTAAAAAAATACTATGAAAACTACTTCTGTGTATTTCTGAATCTGTAATTTTTTTTTTATTATTAAATCATTAATTCTACCAGGGTCTTTTTTTCTCACAAGTATCTGTACTTCGACTTAAGCACGTAATGTGACTACCCCTCCGATCACGAATGGGTTTGCATTCAAAAGAAGATCAAGCGTTAAAACAAATCAAATCCAAGCACAAAATGGCTCCCAAACAAGACATATCCCTCTTTCCCAAACAACTGTTCTCTGTATTCCCCCCCCAGAGGCCAAGTCATGCGAGGACATCCAGTGCGGCGGCGGCAAGAAATGTCTGTGGGACGCCCGCATGAGCCGAGGACGCTGCTCGCAGTGCGAAGGCACGTGTCCCGAGAGCCGGACGGACGAGGCGGTGTGCGCTAGCGACAACACCACCTACCCCAGCGAATGCGCAATGAAACAGGCCGCCTGCTCCGAGGGGGTGCTGCTGGAGGTCAAGCACTCGGGATCTTGCAACTGTAAGTAAATAGAAAAAGAAAGAACCCACCCCGTCCCCCTCCCCTGTCCAAGGCAAAAAGACAGTATTCCACATTGCTTAAACGACCCTCTTGCCCCTTCCCCTTTCCTTTCCCTGAATTCCCACCCCAGACACACCACCAAGCACAGCTTTCGCAAGGAGAACGGACTTGGAATGGAACGGACTTGCATGATGTTGTCTTTTTTTTTCTTTTTTTTTAACCCCCCCCCCTCCTCCCCGTGTACTTCTGCAAAGCATTATAACAGAGAGACTAATTCAGTATGAGTGAGGTGGGAGTTTGCAATGGTCATATGTAGATATCCACATGTATTTGATGAGTGCCGGAGTATATTTTTGCCTTAAATCTCATTCAGCCAAGCAACTAATGGAGTGGGTCGGCAGCGGGCATTTGGACTCCTCAATTTCACAAATACAGGCGATTTAGCTGGCCTCTGAATGTTCTGAACTCCTATTTCCATGTCAGTATTGTACCCGGTAGAGTAATGCTGCCCAGGGGAGGGCACACCATCCATCCATCCATCCATTTTTTTTTTCTATTAATGCTTGTCTTTCAGTAGGGTTGAGTTGGGGTCCACCCCAGCCAACTTTGGGGCGACAGGCGAGGTATACAGTGGACCTATTCATATATTTGCACAATTTCCCCCCCCCCCCCAATATTTTTGTAATTAAAAAAATGTTTTTGAGGTTTTTTTTTTTTGGGCAAACCCCGTTTTTGTGGAAAACACATATTGGAGGTTTATCCGCATTTTTGACTTAATTTTTGGGATCTTTAAAAAAAAAGAAAAAAAAGGAGAGAGAAATCCAATGCATTTCAAAGGGCGTCAATTATACGCAAATGTTCACTATTTTGATATTCGCCCGCTCCCTGTCCCTCTACTGTATCCCAAACATCTATGGACAATTTCAAAGTCTTCAACGAAGCTAACGTGCGGCCAATCGCAGGGCACATCTAGACAAACGGGCATTTTCACTCAAACTCAAACCTACAGTATAAATAATTCACAGTGTTCACTGAAACTAAAATGCATGTTTTTGGAATGTGGAATGACTTTGGCCGGACAAACATCAACCATTCATATCGTGCATACTATATTTTCATAACACAGGTTGTCTTAACAACCAATGAAGCGATGAATGGTTTATTATTATGGCCGTCCGTAGTTGCAAATTCCCCCAATGACCTTACTGGCGTATTTCTGTGCTTTTGTTTCCGTTTTTTGTATAAATATGTTTTATTTTGGTCGGCTGAAAATCAATCATTTCCAATGTCTCTTGTGAATATGCCGCCAACCCTTTTAACCGTATTCACATGATGGTGATTGTAACATTGGTGTCGTGACGGGTCAAGACGAACGGCAAATTTGAACCTTGATAATCGCGTGCAGACTACCTATCTATCTGGAGAGCAGACGGCGTTTGTCGGGAGGGAGGAGGACCGGGGGGAGGTGGTGCTGGAGGTTAAGCGGTGTTGAAATTGAGCAAGAGCCCTGAAGGAAGTATCGCATTTACATTCCATGTTGCTCCACTCAAAAGAATGTCTCATTGTTAGCTTCTCGTGCTATGACACCAGAGGGACCAACTTTACGATCACCTCATGGGCTGAATATTTCTCAATGTGATATTTGATGGAGGAAGTTCACCCACGCCCTCCTTTCATCGTTAAAAAAAAAAAACAAAAACAAACAAACAAACAAAAAAAAAACTTTATTGTCATTGCTGTTTTCCACTGAATGTGATATACCAACCCTCCTTTCATCGTTTAAAAAAAAACCAAACAAACAAACAGAAAAAAAACTTTGTCATTGCTGTTTTCCACTGAATGTGATATACCATGTTTGAATGTTTGGATTGACGAGGGATATCCTTTTTTTTTTGTTTTGTAATATATATATATACTGTCACCTTGCTTTGCTTTGATTTTTTTTTTCTAAAATGTAAAAAAAAAAAAAAAATGTAAAAAGGAAAGGAAATACCTCAGAGTTGTGTTGATGATGTTTTGAGCTGCTTGCCGAGGCCCGTGCCGTGACGCCTCCTGCGCTCACCAACAACAACAACAAGCTACATACATCGCAGAAAACCATCACTGTCACCTCCCATCCGTCCATCCACCCCCTTCCACCCCCCACCACCCATTTTGTAGACCCTACTGACTCGCTAGTGATTTGTGTTGTGGTCCGTATTCATACAACGGCTATATTCCTTCATATAGCCATCAGAGAAGAGCAGGAGGAGGAGGAGGACGAGGACGACTACAAGGCCTATGTGGGTTTATCTTCTATACTGGATGGATAGCCTCCCAAGCAACCCCCAATCCCAACAAAATGATCTCCCCCCACCCCCCCTCCGCCGCCCCACCCGTACCCCCTCGCTCCGCCAGCACTCCCCCCGCTCATGCCAGTCCCAAGGAACCATGTCCATACTGTACATGATGTGTATGCTTATTTATTTTTAAACAAAAAGGAAGTATACATATAGTCCAGTCTGCTAGATGTTTATTTATACTTTTTTCGTGTTTTCTTATTTATACATTTACAATGTCAAGGCTTACAATCTACCACTCATTTTCTCCTTTTTTTTTTTTTTGTTGTTGTTGTTGTTGTTGTGCTTTTTATTTTCCGTTCTTTTTTTTTTCTATTACCATGAAGAAATATATTTGTCCAAAGAGAAACAGTGTTATTTATTTGTCACGTTACCTTGTAAGTATGAGTCCTCGACAAATGCTGTAAATTGCATTCCGCTTTCATTCAGCTGTAAAATGAAAAAAAAAAAGAAAGAAAGAAAGAAAAAGAAAATCTGCTTGTTCCTGTCAAATCTCTATCACAGATGTTTATGTCACACCAACGTAAATGCATGTTTGGGCTGCGTGTTTATTTATTGGGAATATATCAACGTTTTTTTTTTTTTAATGTACAGATGTGTTTCTGGTTTGTTTACAGTTCATAATAATAATTGACCAAAGGGAGACTCTCAATGTTTTTTTTTAAACAACACAGCAGTAATTAAAACGGAAGCGAAAAAGAAAAAAAAAGCCATTTGATTTTTCTTTTCATGTTTTTCAGTTCACATTTAGGCCTTTAGATTCGTCAGCGTTCTATAATAGCATTTATATTATCGCATTAGAACAACAAGACAAAAAACAAAACAAACAAACAAAAAAAAAGAGGTATGTTTGGGATGATACTTGACGACTTTGGAAACAATGTGCCATTAACATTTGTGTGCTGTTGTCTTTCTCCTATGCCAATGTTGCTCTCGCAGAGCTCCGGTAGGATAAATGCATGTTTTACTGCAGTATTCAACACAATATCACACTTTGTCACTCTTGTTTGTTTTGTTTCTTTTTTTCCTTCGGATTTAATGTTGATTTTAAAGCATCAGCAAGAGAAATACAAAATTCTGTTATGAATATATAGTTTTGTATTTTTTATGTAAATGTCCTATGTACATACAAAAAAAGTTTGAGGATATTTGTACAGATATCAAGAGTAAAACAATAAAAGTTTTTTTTTTCCTTATACGTTTTCCTGACTCTGTTGTCTTGGGAAGAAGATTTGAATTTGCAAAATTAGATGGGAAGACTCCTATTATTTCAATATAGTAGTGTTTAAAAGGCCACCATTTGATTTGCTGTTTAGTGATATCACTCAGTAAAGCACATGCCAGCGCCATGGCCAAACTTTAAAAAAGAAAAACAATTTTTGTGGTAGTTTGTCCCAATATTTAGTCATTAGCATGCTACCTTCTATTTTATGAATGATTATGAGCTTGATTTGTATTGATGCCTTGGTGTCTCAAACGTTAAAAAACAAAAAAACAACAAAAAAAAACTTTGCATATTCATTTGTGGTGTGAAGTCACTGCCTGTAAGGCCTACTCTACTGGGCCGAAACACTATCGGAAGGAACTGACCTAGATTTAGAAGTTACTTGAAATTGTATCATTTATTTCCAGCAGACTATCATCTTCATTTCATAGCCATTCTCTTGGCTGCCCAATTACCAGTAGTGTCCGTTAAATTTTTTATTTATTATTATCATTTTTTTGTCTCATCAGAATACAACTTTACGTGCTGCCATGTCAATGTATTCTACCCAAGGCCTTGAGAATCAGGAGTGTTGGCCCATGATCCATACACAGGAGTAGCCAAGGCAGTTTTTTTTTTTTTTTAAACCAATCATATTTTAAATTGACCATACCTGGCATTGGGAAAGGGTTGGCTTGGCGTCAGCATTTTTCTGTCCTCTGATTGGTTAATCAGAGTTAAATAGTCTTGCGATTTGTCAAATGGTTGATAGGAGAGGCCAAATGTCGAACATTGTTAAAAAATCATTTTCAAGGTGGACTTTACGGGAAACTTGGACATTGTGAGGATAGCTCAGCCAACACTGCACCTGGCTGGCTTATTTCAACCTGGAAAATGATTTATTTGGCACTTCCGCAGCAGCATGTTTGAGTGCGGCAAGAAGCTAGTTCAGACTACACAAAACAGAATACAACGAATACTACACTACACAACAATAACTTTATCGTGTTTTTTTTTTTGTCACATGATAGTGGTGGTATTAAGGTGGTATTAAGAAGTAAATTAGGTGACTTAAGTGCCCACTGAGGGTCTGGGTCCGAAATGCACCACTGATATCGATGTGTTGGGACCTATATCCAGATTGTCACATTTTTTTTCCCCCCTTGTCTCATGCACTACCTTGCAATGAAGTTTCGTGGATATTGGGTTTGCTGTTTTTTTTGTACAATCATGCTAAACGTATCTGTGCTACTTTGTCAAAATGCCATGAAAGAGCTGCACAATATCAACAAAGCGTGTCAATGAATTGTCATGAGATCATGTTTTTGCCATCTTGTTATCTTGTGGGATCTATTTTTTCTGTAGAGGCCTTATTTTGCCTTTTTTTTTTTTTTTTGCCCCAATTACTGCCAATAGCAGACATTGCAGTTAGTATATTGGCAGTATATGTTCCCGGAACATATTGACACCTTACATGTACTCTTGAACAATAATGCTGACATTAGCATTGATTTACAATCCGGTTAAAAGTCATTCAGTACCGGCTAATTCTAGACGGCCTTTTTAAAAAAAAAAAAATTTTTTTTTACCTTAAGTCTTAAAAAATAAGTATCTGGGGTTGAACGTGTGGAGTGTGAAAAGACATATACAGTAGATATGTCTTTGGGAGTGAATGAGTTTAAAGTACAACTCAAAAAGAATGAAACTGTCTTTATATAATTGTAAATATTTTGGAGTACATATTTTTCAGGTACCTGAGCATCTGTAACAGGGTTGCAATCTTGTAAAAAAGTATACAAATTAAACAAATGCGTTCCTGTTTTTCCTCAATTTCTTTTAAAAGAAAATAAGTACATTTAAATATTTATATAAAAAGTTGCTTTTCTAGAAATCCGAGTCTGTACTTTAATTTTATTTTTTTGCTTTTACTTATGAACAGGAGCAATATTCGTACATATCCATTGAAGTGTACTTCTAATAAAAGGCGTAATCGACGTGATTTCAACGAAATCTTCTGGCTTGACGTGTTGCCTTACCGTCGAAACGACTGTTTGCATTCTGTGTTTTGACCCGCCGCAGCTGCCGTAGATGCTTGATGACAACAAACATGGCGGCCTCAATGTCACTTGTCGGACTGAGACGTCTTTCTGTGATCGACGCGGCTTCTAAAGTGTTCCTGAACCCCCTCAGGTAGACATTACACCACCCGTGTGGTCATTTGACACCCGTTTTAGTGTCGTTGGAGTGACTCTGAAAGATATGCTCCTTCTAATTGATGGAAAAATTAAACGTAGCACGCAGATCGTGTGGCTTGCTTGTCAATGGCTAATAGACCTCAAATGCCTTCATGTCCATCAAAAGAAACAGTTGTTAGAATGTGGAAGCCAAACGTGCGTATTGAACCATTAAACTGATTATATCAAGATTGTGAAAATCAATGTCCGAACAACACCCTTTAACACTTTCGGCTAGCCAGTTGACTAGCCAATGCTAGATGCAGTCAAACCTTACGCAGATTTGCTCAATTCAACATTTCTCTGCGGGGGATAAACGTGCGCTCATAAGTTCTTAAATGTTTGTGTCGTGACTGAAAAAATGTATCTCTAGAGATGGGTCGTGGAACCCAAATTGTTATCTAAGTAAGAGTATTGTTGCAAATAGAGCTACTAGGGGTACAGCGAGGGTGAACTGCACAATCTCGCTGAGGTAAACGCTATTCAGCCAGGCAGTATTTTCCTTGAACTAAAATTAGCTTTTCAGTTCGCTGGGGGGCAATTACAATTGTTAAAAATGTATATTAACTACAATGTCCCTTTTAAAAAATAACGGATTTCAACTATAATACTGTGGCTCAAGTAAAAGTAAAGATTCGCCGTCCTATAAATCAAATATTAAATAATACGTGCTCGTTGGAAAAAAATCATTTTTTAAAATCAGGAGATGGAAATGAGCAACTTAAACTGTTGCCCAACTTATATCACTTTAAAATAAATGAAGGCTACAGAAATGGTCTTAATTGAACTTTCTTTACACTCTTGAAAAAGATCAATAAACAATGTCTGATCACGTGATAAGTATTTGTTTGTCCACCATGTTGCAGTTTGAGACCACTCACTCATTGTAAGAAAACACTGTGTTGTCCTGAGAGAACATACAGTGTTATCGTCAAGATTTCTGGGTCGAGTTTCCCTTTAAATTGAAACATTGACATTTTGCTGCCACTTGGGTTAAATAAAAGATTAGAAATAAATAAATAAATAATTTTAGGCCATGTCTCCCAGCCCTTAAGGTTTCGACTGAAATTTTCTCACCTACTTGTGAAGTAAGTAGATGGAGATACATATTAGAGTATTATCAGTACCAAGTATGAGTATAGACGAACAAATATCGGCCTTGACACCGTTATTGCAATCGGTGTATTACTACAGATGGCTAAGCGGAGCGGCTTTGTAGTTGTCCAGAAGAATGACACTCTTGGAGGCACATTGCACATCGACAAAGAGCCTACACAGTCAGTCCTCGCCGGACGGTTGACCGCAGTTAACACGAAGCGCGTCCTGTCATTAGGATGAGAGCCATATGAGGCCAGAAATTCACTAGACAGAAGTAATCGGCGGCGGGGTGGGCATTCCCACCTTGGCGTTTCATTTTCCGAGATGGTTTGACTGGCATGATTGTCACTGTTGCGGCTTCTTGCGCAATTTCTGATGTGTTTTTCTCCGCGTGTAAAACGTATCTAATGGTTTTAGGTTTACAAGCACGTCCGCGCAGAGGCTGGCGGAGGGAGCTGGACGAGACTCGCAGCTTATCACAGTAGATGAGAAACTGGTAAGGAATTCCCTCCTCGTTACAATGTGACGCACAAGTTGATGTTTGTCTCATTCGCTGCTTTCCAACCACACAATGCTTTCATCAGAGGCCAGAACAATCACACTTTTGTGGAAGAATGTCTTACAAACCCTTCCTCGCCACCTGCCAAACTGACCCTGCAATCCGTCAAAACTGAAATCCTGGCAAGCACTGTAATTATGATACAGTGATTTGCGTTGATCGATGTGCTCAAGATAAAGTGACAGGAAAAATGACCCCCAAAAAATGTAAAAAGCATGAAACTTATATTTAAAGTCACTGTAATAATAGTCATTCCTTTCCAAGCAGCAATCTTCCATTCTGCCTACAAAAGTGACATTTGTTATTGTTATGATAATTTGCCGGTAATGAATACAGACGGCAAAATGAGCAATGGGCAATACCATCCAACCATTTTCTATAAAGTGGAGCACTTGTCCTCATGAAAGGTCACTGCGGAGCTTGGAGTCTGTCCCGGCTGACACCCTGGCCAGGGTCGCCAGTCAGTTGCAGGAAGAAAAGAGCCATTTAGCCCTCTGGACAATTTCTTGTCCACAGTCTGCAATGAATTTAATGTTCCGAGTTTTTGGAATGTGGGAAGAAGAAAACCAGGAGAAGAGCCACACAACCACAGGAACACACACAAATTCCTCACAAGGAGGCCCGAGCCAAGATTCGAACCCCAAACCTCATAACTGTTTCATTTGACCTTGACAGGCGACTTGGTTCCAACACTGTAAATGAATATGGAGCTAATGTAGGTTTTGTCCCGTGATCCAGTTTGGGCCTTGGCTTTGCTGAACTTGCAATTTTCACATTCCCAATCTCTCATATATTTTACCCATGAACTTGCTCATATTTTCCAGCTTAAATTAATCTTGTAAAAACACCCCACACAATGAGTCTTTAGGGGCTTTGTTCATACTTGTCATATGAAGTAGCACAGTTGCTTTTGAAATCCAATATGAGCGATGTGCAAAACAAAAGCAGCATCTCTCAATTACGGCGGAACCGCAAAAGCCACGAAAAAATGCAGCATAAAACCCGCACTAGCATGAAAGGATTTTTTTCTCTGAAAATTGTACTTTTTTGGGGGGGCGCAATAAGATGCTAACAAGAAGAAGCAAATGCACTGGCAGTTATTGAAGTGTGTGGATATTCTCTAGTGATTCTCTATGTGACAAGTATACTGTAAGAGCCCAATCACTTATTTCTGTCATGATAGATTAGCAATTAGCACGACTTCTCCGTCTTTCTCCCCGTTGCGTGATAACGACACAAATCAGACGTGTGGCTTTTTTGCGGCCATTTAGGCGACAATTCGTGACTTGTGACATGCGCTGTGTTGACGCCGGACGCAAAGTGAATTTGCGGTTCCGCATCATGTTTTGGGCCACGTCAGCTAGCTAGCCGTAGCTCGCAGGCAGCTGAGGCAGCACAAATTAGCGTGCAACAAGCATTCCTCAATACGAACGGCTGAAAGCAGGGAGGTTGGACTAAAATCTAATGTGGACACACTTTTTGTTTTCTGTAAAACAATGTGCTGTTTATTGTATCACATTCATTTATGAAAGGGGTACTGGCCGTGTCTTGACGGTCCAACACAGCGCTTCATGCTAATGTTGGATGCTATTTTTAATTTTTTTCCGAAATACCCGACAAAATCAGTGTTATTTATGGCTGTAACAAGTCAGAAAAATACAAATCAGAATAAGCACAATTAGTTTGGGAAAGTTTATTAAAAAATAAATAAAAAAAACCTTAATTGCTTGACAGCAGTATTTCTCTATGTGGTGGTTACGTCATAAATCACGAATCAACGGCGCCGTACTGCACATGTGATTCATCATCACTCAAGTTGTTTGTTCACTGCCAAGTACAGTGACTTGAATAAGTAGCAGTACGCATGTTTAATCATGCGTTCGTGTCAAGAATGTGTTTACTGAGTATGGGATGGTTATTTTGAGCTCAAACTGTAGAAAACCACAACACCCCACCCCAACAACAACAAATAAAAAACCACTGAAAAGATTGAGGTCACTTTGTGATACGGCATCAACCGATGAGTCCTCATAATTGAAGCTGAATCTTTTGTTGTTTTTCCCTTTGACTTGTAACAGTTACATTACAAACATCAACACCACTCACAGCGGCATTATCCCTTTTGTCATTAAAGTTAATCCTGAGTATTTTAAAGGGGAAGTCAACATGAATTTTTTCTTCACGGCAATGTTGTACAAACACAGCATTCTGATTAATATTGCATCTGTGGAATATGAGAGAAGCAGCAAAATCGCCCCCATTTTTATACATCTCAGGTGGCGGCCATTTTGCCACGTTCTGTCGACTGAAAATGACAAAACAGTTGCTCATGCTTAGGTGACAACCAATCACAGTGCACTTGTTTTCTCAGTTTGCTCATGCGACATTCGGAGCTGTGATTCCCAAAGGGAAAAAAAAAGGGTCAGTTTCTGTTGTATTACGGTTATTTTATGTTCAATGTTCAGTACAGCGCTTTTTTTAAAGCCAGAGCTGGAAGCGTTTTATAGATGAAGATGTATTGTATTGTAAATTGGTTTTCAACAAATCTCTGAGATGGACCATTTGTCCTCAAGCAGATTGTGCTGGTCTGAGTGGTGCGACTGTTAAAGCCATTAAAAGAAAACTGAGATAAAAGATAATAAATAGGGAGTTTGCTAAGAACGAGGGAGTCTGTTGGGGGGCTTGTTTTTGGGGTTTGCTGAGTCGGGGGTGGGATGGGGTGGCGGGGTTCGGTGCTGTGTGTGGGCAGCGTCAGTGTGCTTTTGTTCCTCACCAAAAGCTGACCATACTGGCAGACAAACCTTTGGCTGGGTGGAGTGTCTGTCTCTGTCCTCTCAGTGGGGGCTACTGAGAGGAACAGCGGAGTGGAGAAGAAAAAAAAAAAAAGAGGGCCTCAAAAAAATGAGGAGGGGGTGCTGGTGGTGAAAGAAAAGAAGCTTGGAAAAAGTTTGTGAGACACCCTGAGACTCGCGAAAAAAAGACAGTGGCCACTTTAGTGCTGTCGGCCACAGAGGTCCCTTTGTGGGCCGCCGTCGCCCGCGACGGCGGGAAGAACTCCAACACTTGCTCAGACAGGCCCAAAAAGAGAGGCCCTCAGCTGTTTGCAGGACAGTCGGTGCTTCCGCCGTCTCACATGGGAGAGGCTAATGGGAGCGCTCTCCCTTTTGGGCATTCCGACTATGTCAGCACGCTAGTCATTCATCCGGACGTCAATATGTGCAAATTGCTCTCTGGTTCGACCAATCAAACAAAGGTCTCGGTCCGCCGAGAGGTTATGTCGAGTTTGCACGCGGTCTCCCTCTCGAGCAGCCCGAGGAGAAAAAAGTGCTGTGTCGTGGTTGCCAACCTTTGTGAATAACCTCATTTCGATGAGCCTGCATATTGGCCCCCGGCGAAATGATCTTTTGATACAGCGCCATCAAGTCTTTGGGGTGACATTCAGTATCTTGCCCCATCGATCCCGTCTGTCCCAAACAAAGCGCTGCTTACAGGAACTTGCATCTGCAGTTTGTGCAATGCTCATCTCCATTACAGAAGGATTGGGAGGTTCGGGGGGCCGGGGGTCGAGTCTCCTGGAGCTCAGGATTTTGCGAGAGTTTAGAAAGAATACTCAGATGGGGGGAAAAAAACAATTACTTCTTGGATGCTGTGTGGCTAGGAAGCTTATGTTGTTACAGTCTTGAGAAAACAGAGCAAAGTTGTGGTCTTCCATCTGAAGCGTTCAAATTGCGGGGACTTGTCTTTTTAAGTTCTTGTTCTGAAACGGATTCGTACAATTCTGCCCCCTTCAGTTCGAGAGTGTCAATTTCCCCTCCCCATCTTCATCTGTTTCTCATTGGCAGTTCAGACCGTCTTGTCACTCGTCAATGAAAGACATGTGTCCGTACACACATCAATGACATTCTTCGTGTTGCAGAAACGAACTATACCATGAGATTGATTGGGACGGCAACAATTCAGAAATTATATCATATCGTGTACGTTTTGCAATGAGCTAAAAAAAACGATTCTTTCCTCCGGGCCATTCAAACAAAGTCAAATTGTTTTCTCGATGTCATTTCACTCATTCACTCCCAAAGACGTTTTTAAACGTCTTTTTATACTTGGTCTCGAATTAGCTGCTACTGAATGAGTTAAGTGAAAATCCTTTCAGTTGAGGTCAAGGAACTTGAGAATGGCAATAACTGCCCTTCGCGGTGAGTCTTTTCCGCAAAATGTTTAACGGTTTGACATGTCTCTGAGCATAGTGTCGAAAAAAAAACAACATAAAAACGCCTCAATTGATACCCTGCCAAAAGGAAGGGAGGGAGGGGGGAAAAAAAAAAGCCCTGCGTGATGGAGCGGCGGTGCCCAGAGCTGTTCCCTAGACTGCCCATGCCGACCTGCTTTTGTTTGTAATTACTGTTTGATTAAGCATGCTGGGCAGCTCCCAGCGTCCGGCTGGCAGGCCACTGATACACAGCTTTACACGGAATGTCTGCGACCTCCCCTCACTCGTGGCCCAGACTTCCCGCTTTGCTTTCTCGCCTTTTGGCAGAGATCATTGACACCGCTCGTCTCGCAAAGTGCGTCAAATTGAAGCGCTAATCCACCGCCGATATGTCTGAGTAGCGCTGTTGAAGTTAGCCGCGGCGCAAGCGAGCTCACTCTCCCCACATAAAGACAACGCCGTCATCTTAAAGTGCTTGTGAAGCCTTGTTATAGAGTTCTCGAAAGGCACTTGGGTTTTTACAAGAGAGTGGAGACAGGTCAGAAGTGGTGAGCCGGGGCGAAGACGTGTGCCGAAGCACGAAACTAGCTGGTCTGTTTACCGCGTAGCACGGAGAGGCTTCTTCATTGGGGAAATATTTACTTTCTTCCAACATTTACAGGAAAGTCTTTACCGGGTATCGAACATCCCGTCCGAGCAAAAGAGTTGCGGTTCAAAGTTTTGGAGG